CACACACACAAACCCTCACTGTACACACGCACACACAAATCCCCACTGTACATAAGCACACACACAAATCCCCACTGTGCATACACACACACAAACCCCCACTGTACATACGCACACACACAAACCCTCACTGTACACACGCGCACACACAAACCCCCACTACATACGCACACACAAATCCCCACTGTGCATACACACACACACACACAAACCCCCACTGTACATACGCACACACACAAATCCCCACTGTGCATACACACACACACATACCACCCCAGTCTCTAGGACTTACCCCAAGAACCTGCTGCTGTCATCAGTGAGAAGGCCGGCCCCGCCTCTGTCACACAGTCCCCTTTCCCGCAAGGTCAGTGGTTTGAGTCCACCAGCCTCTCCCTCCGTGGGAGAAAGCCCAGGCTGTCTGCCCCCATAAAGATGAACACCTGTGGCACAGTTCTACTCTGTCCTACCAGGTCGCTCGCTCTCCGTCAGAATCGGCCCGATGGCAGTGGGGAAGCAATTCCTAACGTTGCTATGTCCTCAAGCAAACCACAAACACGCTGTTTGCACTATCACTGCGGGGACTTCATAAGCTGAACGCCTGCTCTTTCTCCCTCAACCCCACTGGTCTAGGAATCTGCAGAATGCATCTGCAACCTCTCCTGGCCCCCCTCTCAGCCAGATCTCTACCTTCTCCTCTGTCGCCTCAATGCCTAAGGGGTGCTCCACAGATGTGTTAGACAGGGTTCTCTAGAAAGATAAAACCAGATTGCTGGTAATTTTATATATATAGATATATAGATATATATAGATATATATATATAGATATATATAGATATATATATAGATATATAGATATAGATATATATAACACCAAAAAATGAACTGTTAAATTATAAACAGATAGATATATAACACAAGAAATTAACTGTTAAATTATAAACAGATAGATAGATAATACAAGAAATGAACAGTTAAATTATGAAGCAGTACAAATGGCTCAGTGCAACTCACTCCCATGAGAGAGTTGTGAGACACTGGCAGTCCTTCAAGTCTTGAGGGCCACCCTGTAGTCCTCTGTAGAGAGAGAGAGCTCGCCTATCCCAGCACAGGCAGCAAACCGCAAGGCAGGTCACCAATTGTCAGTCTCCAGCTCAAGAGATGTAAATTTCAAGCATGTGGTCTTAAAGGGACCTCAACTTACAGCGACACAGTCCACAGGCTAGGCGTCCCACAGGTAGAGTAGCCTGTAAATTGAGGCACAGAACAAGCAAGACAGCCACACACTGGTCTGATGATCAAAGAGTGAGAGACAAGAAAGGCGAGGCTCACCGACCCATATATCTCTCCGCCCTTCAATTAATCCCACATGTGTTTAACGGCCAGGCTGGCATAATAAGCTATCTCAATGGACCAGCAGCGGCAGCATCACCTAGGAGCTTGTGAAAAAGGCAAGAATGTCCCAGAATTCAGGTCTCATCCCAGAATGAGCCAGAACCTACATTCTAGCAAGATCCCAGGGGACTCGGGTGCACCTTAAAGTCAGGGACTGCCCCTCAGACAGCCCACACAGGGCCACCCCTTCTCTCCTTCTGCCAACAACCAGAGTTAAACTGATTGTTTTCCAGCCCGGCTGCATGTCAGACTCACCTGAGAAGCTTGTTAAAGAACAGAGAGAAAGAGAGAGATCTCACCAAGCCCAGCTGAATCCGAATCAGGGCCTGCAGCCCACACATCTGTATTTTTAACAAATGAGATGATTCCCAAGCTCTGGTTCAGCCACCAAATGCCCCTGAACACGTCCTTGACCTGCTGCCATGCCACGCAGGTTCACCGACTGATGTGTGCCTTGGCAGAGGCCTAAACAGGGAGGCCCGGGGCAGGGTGTGTCGGGGGTTGCTAGCTGCTCACTAAAGAGAGCTCGTGCCCCCCTTCCACAGGGCACAGCTGTGGCTGGGAGGCAGCAGCTCAGCCAGTGACTACAGTTCCCAGAGGCCTTTGCAACTAGACAGGGCCCCGGGACTGAGACCTGACCCGGCAACATGGCAGAGAGCCACGGGCTGCTTCCAAGCCTACGTCCTCCAGCCTCCTAGCCACACTCTGATGTCCAACGCCCAGGGTGAGCTGGGAGGTTACTGCCTTTAAACATTTTGCTGTGAATTGGGTGGAGGTTTAGAGAGCAGAACATCCGTTTTACATTCCACAACTCGTACATATTTTGTTTCTTCTCCACTGCAGCCCCTCGGCGTACTGTCGCTTATTCCACTTCCTCTCTCCTCGCCCTCTGAACTTTGTCCTGGAGGAAATGCCGCCCTAGTGCGAATGCTCCCCTTACAGATCTGTCTGTTATTTGGCTGGAAATTGAGTCATGGGGGTGAGTTCAGTTCTAGACCTGATAGGTGCCTAAGAGCCAGAGTCTCAAGGTTTCCACCAGCCTCCATCTGACTGGTAGGCTAGTCTCTTTTGTGATTGTGAGTTCTACTCCAACTTTCAAAAAAGTGACCCGTCTGAGCAGCTGGCCGTGGACGGGCAGCATCCGGTCCCTCTGGCCTCAGGGTTGTGGGGCTGTGGTCATTAGTGCACTGGACTTACTGTCTCTACGTGTCTTCCGTTCACATCACCCTCTTTCCCCCGGCTGGGAGAGGCCAATACTTGCACTTGGGTGGCCGGCACGAGCTGGAAAGGCCCCCACTGCTCTTCTCTAAATTAGGAGGGGAACCTGGGCTTTGCCAGTCGTGGCTTGCCAGCCGATGTTGTCTTCCAGGCCACGGTCCAGAAGACGCATGTGGAAGCCGCTTATTAAAGATGGCTGAGACCCTGCCAGCCTGGGTGCTTACACGTCTGTGCAGAACAGAGGCCTCTCTGCTCCCATCAGTGCCAGCTGCATGGGGGATCGGTAAGCAATAGACCTTGGATGTCCTAGCTACTGTGGAGGAGCCCGGGTGGTGTCACTGCGGAGCTGGGCTGCTGTCTGCAGGGTCAGCAGGAG